ACAGGGGGTTCACAGGGGCCGGAGAATACTGCGAGTTCCCGGTCCGGACAGCCGCGACGAAGGTCTGGCCCTGAAAATAAGTAGTGAGGGTACGTGACTTTAAGCAGGATTCCCACCCAAATGTAGTCCCAGACGCCGACGATGTCGTCTGCCTGCCAAGGATAACGAATTGAGTCATGCTTGGTGCTGGAGGACCGAAGGCGCGCTGGAAGACGCGTCGTGCTCACGGCCTTACCTCCAGATCTCTAGACAGTCTCAAAGTGTAGTGGCTGCCGAGAGAAGTATCGATAACTCCGATGCGACATTCGAGACTCGTCTAATAATTCTAACCGAGGCTCCACCCGGGGATCTATGACGTTACGGGTTCCCGACAGAATCCGTCTCCTCGACGGCGAGGAACATGTGTGGGGTAAGATGAGATAAGGTAGGTTGGAACATCTGGAGAAAGCGACTTCCAGCAAATTGAAGCCGACCCCCCGAGAAGTCGACACCCCGATAATCCCCAGACTCGTGATGCGCCGGCATGGCGAATCGAGCATGTAAGAACGGACTCGGTTCCGGAATCGTGGATTCGGGTCCGTATTCTCGAAAGTAAGCGGGGGAAGGGGGTTCCGACGCACTAGCCAGCAATCCAGTGTCAATAGTCAACATCCGTCCCGAAGTGACAATGAGAGGGGAACGAGAAGACGAGGCGGTAGAAGTTGGCCATCTCGGGCGCCGTCCTCCCGATGCTGAGTTGGAAATCGAATCGTGATATTCTCGCAGCGGTCGTCACCAGTCATAGGATAGCAGTGACGCTGGCATACTTTCCAAGCACATGGATAACACGGATGCTTGTATATTACGTATACTTCTCGGGGTGCGGGACGTCATCAATCGCTTACTCAAGTAGCGCCCCTTCGAATCTCTTCCCGTGGTCGTTCGAGCTTCTCTCGGTGATCCACCTTCGAAGGGAGCTGCTGAGTCAAGGTGCCCGTCGAGCTCCGATGCGCCCCATGGCGACTCCCGGCCCGAATATGGGTCCGGAATATCGAAGGTCTGGTCCTGCTTCGTGAATTCCACCTCCGAGCATGGTCCCGTATGGTGCTCCGTTCGGTAAGAGCATCTCCGATAAGAGCATCTCGCCGAAGCAGGGGAAAATCTCGTCATCGGATATTGATGGTGCGCTCACGGCGGATAGCAGCTGATTCCCGGGGCCTCTCTCGTGGACAGACCGACTCGTACACATAGAGTGCCACCGACCGGAATCTTCCGGTTTTCCGGGAGAACTGAGGGACGCCGGCGTCCCTCAATGTGTAAGCGTGAGTCGAGCAGAAGATTACGAATTCCTTTCAAAATTCAACTCCTGTATCATGCTCAGTACCTGTATCCAAACGTCCCATGCTCTCGATGGATCATGAGACGGGGCGAGCGTAGTCCGAATGCAGACTATATATCTCTATTCTTACTCCCTCAACTCCCCGGAATTGATCCAATGTACATTCCATTCCACTGGAGGACCTTCGAAATATGATTTCAAGTACCGCTGAAGTCCAATGTCAGCTGCTCCGTATGGTA